AAGAAAATATTAATATATTTGTACAGCTGTACAATGTGTTTGTATTTTAATTACAAGAGTCAAACAGTTAAAAAATTTAAAAAGTTTATAAAGTAAAAAAGTAAGCTAAGGTTAATTTATTATTAAACTGGCATTTAAAAAAATGAGTCTAAGTATACAGTAGTGTACAATAATGACCTAAGTCTTCACATCTACTCACCACTCACTCACTGACTCACTCAGAGCAACTTCCAGGCCTATAAACTCCATTCATGGCAAGTGCCCTATAGAGGTGTACCATTTTTTAAATCTTTCATACTGTATTTTTACTGTAACTTTCCTATGTTTAGATAGGCTCAGATACACAAATATTATATTTACCATTGGGTTACAATTGCCTACAGTTTTCAGTACAGTAACATGCTATAAGGTTTGTAGCATAAGAGCAGTGAGCTGTACCATATAACCTAGGTGTGTAGGAGGCTGTACATCTGGGTTTGTGTAAGTATACTTGGTGTTCACACAATGACAAAATTGCCTAATGCAATGCATTTCTCTGAATGTTTCCCTGTCATTAAATGATACATGAGCATATTCTTTCAGCAATGATGGGATAGATTTAAGAATCATCAGTTCAAAGATTGCCATCAAACCAATCCTTCACCAGTGTCCATTCTGCACATTCATATGAGTGGAAATTTGCCAATCTTAGCTTGAAATAACCCTTAGGGCAGTTCTCTTGTTTATTCATGTAATTTTTATTTCTCTTTTTACTACCCTGGTTGAAGGTTTATGCCCTTGTAAAGTTTCCATTTGAAAAGTTCCATCTGGTGGGACCCTAATTTCTCCCCAAAATATGGTAAGCTCCGAAAGAGAATTTTTCAAAATGCTTCATGTATGAGATGTTTTATTCATCTCTGCTTGTGAATGAATTGCCCCTGCTTTCCTTTTCCCTCATCGTGCCATTTATTTGAGCAGTGATGTTTTTGTGTAGCTCACATTAGACATATTTTTATATTTCCTTTTTTTTCCCTATGAAGGAAAGTACTGCTACAGGAATGCTGGATAATATGTAGCATTTTATGAAATAGAGCATAGCATATAGTAAATGGTATCTCTTGTACATAAGTGATTCATACCACACTCGCTCAGCATTTTAGCATGTTCCGCTGGCTAGCTGGTAGCATACCTGCTAGTTAAAAGATTTTAAATTAAATTTTAATTTTACATGTTTATATTTACAAAACATTTTGAAGCCTCTCCTTCATTTTTAGTGACCAGTCTGTATAACTTAAAACTGTATAACAGTGTTCCTAGAAAATTTTCCTTCTACACTTAAAAAAAATTGTTTTAGGGAAGCAAAAAGAGTCTGGCTATCTTCCATATCAATTCCTGTTGAGAGCTAAATATAACAAAAAGGATTCATATTCAATATCCATAACTCTTAACATGGTTTCTAAATGATATTTAGGTAATGTAAATCATTAGAGAGATTAAATCAAAGAATGCTCTCAAAACAAATAAGATTATTTTAATGTGTTGTAGAACAATAAATAACAAGGCATTTCTAGAAATTAGTTTTTGGAGGAGACTCAGAGTGAAAATGCCTTTCTTGGATTAGGACAACTCCTTAAAATATAAACAATGTTTAGCGATTAACCAAATTGTATGCCAAGCTCATAGACTGAACATGATTTATTCATTGCCTAAAGTATTGAATGGGAAAAGTGATCATTTGTGGTTGTACCCGTAAGTTTTATGAGAGGTTTTAAGAATGAGCTGGAGAAGTTACAGGTATTTGGGGAATGGCTTTAGGTTTCATCCAATTCAGAACTAATGTTCTCTGCCAGATTCTGTTGCCCTTGGTGCCTTGCAAACCAGAAAATTAAAAATAACTCTTATTTAGAGAAAATCAATCTCAGTTTCTTGAAAGTATATCTTGCTTTATTCAGCAGATGTATTCTTCAAAATTGTGTTTAACAAAGTTTTATAAATTAAATGTTTTAAGTGCATATGGGAACTGCTAATTTAAGTGATATTGCAAAAGTGAAGGAAGCTTTTGTGAAACAAGTCATTTCTCTGAAGTTATAATTAAGAAAATCCAAGTGTATCTTGATGTTTTTTTTTAGCTGTGGTTTTATAATAGGACATAAATTTTTATCTTCAAATGATTTTGTGAAGAATATGAATGAAATAACTACAAAGTATAAACAATGCACAAGAAATCAATACTATGTATTAAGCAACTACAGTATATTCAGCCCTGTGCCTAATCACTGTGGGATGCAGAAAGTGTGAAACAATCTATGCCACAGAGGAGGTTACATCTAGAGCTAGCTGCCCAATCTTTGCCAATTAGGAGATTATACTTAGAAATAACTTTGCTGTAAATAAGTAATAAATATCTTTGCCATAAGGGAAATTATACTCAAATCCAATTGCAAAATCTATGCCACACAGAGGGTATACTTTGACATAATTGCACAATCTATGCCCATAGATTGTTTCACCTGTACCTTGCTGTTTATTTGTTTCATGATTTCACTGGATGGATTCTGTATTCTTTGTCATATATTGACAGTGAAGTCTCTGTTCATTTAGTTAGTAATCAGCTTATGATCAGACAGAGATTTCCTTAAATTCCTTGAAATGATAAGTCTCCCACTCTTTGTTGAGGGGCTGTGTTTGTGTGTGTGTGTGTTGGGGCATGTCTTCAGCACTCCAGCCATTTGCAGCTCTGCCTTAGCCTTCACTTCTTGCTTGTGCATTGCCTCAAGGTCAGCCAGAAGTGAGAGAGTAGGACCTTCTCAGGTCTTTCCTGGGTAAGCACTGAACCTGTAAGTGGCCATCTAGATCCCCAGGAATATATTGGAGCTTTTCAAAGCCCCCATGAATGTCTCATTAACCAGATTTTCCTTTAAAAAATTTCTTTTTGTCAGCCTTTTGTTAGCCCCAGCTAGTATCACTGCCTCAGTCAGCTGTAATGTCTAACAATTTCTGCTGATTGTTTTTTTTAATTTATTTTTATTTATTTATTTATTTATTTATTTATTTTTGTTTGTTTGTTTTTTGAGACAGAGTCTCGCTTTGTTGTCCAGGCTAGAGTGAGTGCCGTGGCGTCAGCCTAGCTCACAGCAACCTCAAACTCCTGGGCTCAAGCAATCCTCCTGCCTCAGCCTCCCGAGTAGCTAGGACTACAGGCATGCGCCACCATGCCCGGCTAATTTTATATATATATATATATATATATATATATTAGTTGGCCAATTAATTTCTTTCTATTTATAGTAGAGACGGGGTCTCGCTCTTGCTCAGGCTGGTTTTGAACTCCTGACCTCGAGCAATCCACCCGCCTCGGCCTCCCATAGAGCTAGGATTACAGGCGTGAGCCACCGCTCCGGCCTGCTGATTGTTTTAACAAGCACCCTGGGGATAGGGCTTTTCTCATTTAGTGATCACTGAATTAGGTCAAAAGATTCTATTCCTGAACACAGAGCTTCCCCAGGGGGCTGCCACACAGGTTGAATAGTGACAAGTCTCTGGGGCTGGAGCTATGGGGGGATCTCCAGTCCTGTTTTGCCCCATCCAGTGACTGCTGGGTTGCCAGAGTTCACAGCTTCCATGGTTTCAAGGCTGTGGTATTGAAGTCTATGGTGAAGCTGGGAAGAGGGGGGCAGGAATAGGATTAGTTAAAATTACACAAAGCTTGCTGTTCTTATAGAGATTCAGTTGTTTTTCTTGAATAAACAGTCCTCATATTGTTGCAGGCCTTTGGTTAACTTACGGAGTTCTGGAAAATACAATTTTGACAAATTTTTCCAGTGTTCTTTGTTGCCTCTATGGAGGAATGAATTTTGGGAGATCCTTATCCTGCTATTGTGGATGTACATCTTTGGTGGCTTTATTTTGAAGCAAGTTTTTTTGTTAAATAAGATGGTGGCCAGCAGCAACTTGTACATGTTTTTGATTCTCCTTAAGTTGGAAGAGGAGAGAGAGCAAGAGAGAAGGATTAGGTTCTCTTTCCCAGAAACCTTGAGCAAACCAAATTGACATTGACCTACTCTTCTCTGAAACTAATATTAATTACTGGCAAAGAGGAAGAAATTGGCCTAGTTGGCTTAATTCAAACATTTGAAAGTGGAGTGAATGTTGGAGAGTCAACCACACTGCTAGCAAGCTTACTTCTATAGAATAACTGTAGGTAAGGGAATGGCATAGTGTCTAAAGGGAAGGAAAAGAAGCTCAGAAAAAGAAGACTGGAGAGAACGATTGAGAATTCTTGCCCAAGAAGTATTTTTAGTGTTGCCTTTATTTTTATTTATGCAAAGATGCATTTTGATGTGGGGAGAATATTTATGTTAGTCACACCATGGAATAATTTAATTTGTCCACATAGGCTTCTACCGATCATTTTTTCTGTAGTGCAGTAAGATTTAAATGGAGTTGCTTCAAGAAACAGTGTGGGGCAATGGATTGACCACTGAGAACAAGTTTGTAAGGAGTAAATAGCTGGGAAATCATAATATACTTGAAGCTGAGGAATATTCTGTTGCATTTCTGTTACTCATGTTAGGGGCCTTGTTAAAAGTGCAGTGTTATGTTTGGATCATAGCAGGGGCTATGATCTGCAGAGCATAAAATTATTCAGTATCTGGAAAAGAGTGACAGAGTTGTACTTATCAAGTAGTATTATGTATGGTACATTATGTACTTCGGTCCCTGGAAGCTTATAATTACCCACTGCAGAACACTGTAGCATGAGTAATGGAGCTTCATGTACTATATAGTAATGTCAGATGGCTCATTTATTAATCACTCTTCACCGTATCTTTGTGAAGTGGGTCAGTATTGTTATAATCATTACCTGTCTCCTTTATGATGAATCTCAAGAATATGAATCACGTTAGTAAAGGTTGCACACATAGCTTATAACTAGATTTTTGAATCAGTTCTTCCAGTGATTATTCAGTGCTCATTCAGTGAGCTTCATCATGGAAATGGAATTAAATATGTTATTTTCCAATAGTTAGGAAAAAGAAACAACTCTACCTACTGTCTTTCAATATCTCCATTTCCTGATGTTCATAAGGTAAGATAGTTTTACATTAGTTGAACCAGAATGAACATAACAGGATACTATGAAAAGAAACCCAAGTCTTATTTCCAGGTAAGGACAAACAAAGAGAACATGGGTTTAGCAGCCTCAAAATAAAATAAGTAATACATTTATTAAGTTGTTAATTATAAGAGTAATTATATTTTCATTAGGCAGCACATTCCTCTACCCTGGTTAGTGAATTGGAATGCTATACAGATGATAAGCATTAAAAAGCTGTGTCTCCCTCAAAGGAATAAAAACAACCCCAGGTCCTTGAATTCATAATATGCAGGTGAAAGACATATTTGGAAGAAAGGAAGAAAGACAAAAAAATTCATAAGTATCCCAAGAATAGTTTTTGGCTAACATTTGGTCTAATTCTAAAAGTTTGGACTTCCTCTTTTCCACTGCAGATAACAATTATCACTTTTTAATGTGGCTTTGAAATTTTAGAACAGAATCCTCATGAAGTGCATCAAACATTCTTGAACTGTTTTCAGAACATTCTTTTCATGGAGCCATGGAACCAGCTGCTCTTCTGCCTTAGTTAGTGTTTTGTCATTGATGCTTTTAAGAATGTGTGTAATAAAACAGAATCTGAGACATTGATCCCGTTGCCTCTATTTTAAGGAGGTGATTATAGCAGAATGAGACACTGATTTATAATGTATTGTTCCTTCTCGTCTAGACCAAATTACATGATTTGTCACAGAGGTTACTTATGTATATCAGAAAAAATTCTGTGGATGTAACTGCAGAACAGTGAATGGGCTTTTTTGTGTGCTAATGGAGAACACAGTGTTACACTGGGAAATGATTATTGGCTAAGCCTCTTGATGTCCTTCTTGGTAGCTACCGAAGTGCATTGAAATGGTGGCACAACTAGTAGGATAATTCAGTCTGAAAATCTTTCTGTTGAACATAGTCTTTCTTACTCTATAAGTTAAAAACAATGAATCAAAATTTCAGTCAAAATATATAGGAGTGTTACTTAGCATTAACATTTTCTGATTCAATATGTAATGTGGTCTTATAATTGTTATTGACTGAAACAGTAATATGTAACTATCTCACTTCTTTTTCAGCATGCCATTTTAGAAAATCAGTTCATATGATGAATTCTAAGTAGATGTGGCAAAGACACAGAGGGAAATGTTGGCAGCATGGATTATGATATGTTCTCTTGTTCATAGTGTGGCATTATTCACAAAATATTGATGTTTGTACTCGTGATTTGAAGGCACATTTTCTTCTTCTTATCCTCTTACTCTGCAAATTGATGGTATATAGAACTGGGTGACTTCTGAAATCAACAGAAATAATATTTGAATTTTTGGTAACATCTTGTCTAACCCCCAAAATTGAGTTAATGACTTTAGAATTCTTTGACATTATCCAGTGCCAAAGAACTATCAAGTGTTGAGTAATTATATATAACTAAGTTCTATGTTAGATGCTTGTTTATGCTTTAACCTGCTTAGTTTTCGTAATATAACCATTTGGTGTAAAGATTTAATTTCCTTATTTTGCACATGGAGCAGCAAGTTCAGCACATTTCTATTATAACTTGCTTAAGATCAGACATTTAGGAACTGGGAGAGCTGAGGCTTAAACCACATCTGTCTGAATTCCAAGACCATGCTTTCATCCATTCTTCCATTTTGCCTCCCTGCAATAAAGAAACATCTCTCTGAATAAACCCTAATAAACCTGTCCAGAAAATCCTATTTAGTTTGTATGATGAGGACAAAATTTAGAGCAGTTTAAAAAAATAAAAGTAAGCAGAGCTACAGTACTTGTCCAAACAGACTTCTTTTATCACCTCCCTGACCACACACCTCATGTTGTGTAAAAAGAGCCACTGCTTCCCTGCAGTTGTCTTTCCTGGATTTCTCTGTGAATTTTTGCCCTCTTTGATATATAATATCACACACCACAAACAAGAACGTGTTGCAGTTTAAGATTAGCGTAAGCTGAGCTGGGAGTCACTAAAATCTTGCATGTAACATGACTACATATTCAGTGGGTTTGGAATACTGGAATGTCATCAGGATGTAATAAAAATTGTTACCTGTCACAGTTATACTGAGTAACTCCTGCTGCCTATGAATAATTTTACTGATTAACTTTAATTTTTATAAACCTTTTTTAGTTTGTATTTTGGGTAATAGATATCTTATTTTTCTGACACCTATCTCCATTTCTTCTCTTTGTCACTAATTTAAGGAGTCTGTTTGAATGTATTTTTCCATCTTTTTTTTTTCATTCAAGTGCTTTTTATTGAGATAGGGTCTTACTCTGTCACTGAGGCTGATGTGTGGTGGCATGATCATAGCTCACTGCAGCCTTCAACTCCTGGGCTTGCCAGGTGTGGGACCAGATGTCAGGTCCATGTTCCCTGGTTCTTGATTCCCAGTATGGAAGAATGGTTACCGGTACCGAGTCAATGGAGCAAATGAGCAGATGCAAGCAAGCAAAGTGTCAAAGTTTAGTAAAGCATAGCTCATTCCTCAGAAGGAATGGGTCAACCCCTGCAAGTGGAAGATACCCTGAGTTTAACAAGATTTTCCCTTTTATGCTGATTCCCTAATTTTATGTTAAGTGGGGAGCGGAATACTCATGGTTTTTCTTGGAAAAAGGTGGCAAATTCCTGGGATGGCGAATCCTCTCCATTTTTAACCTTGTAAAGCAATTTCTGGGGATTGGCATGGTATTTGTAAACTGTCATGGCATGGGAGAGTTTGATTTTTCTTTTTCTTTGTGTATTTTTTTTTTCTTTTTTTGAGGCAGAGTCTCACTCTGTTGCATGGGCTAGAGTGCTGTGGTGTCAGCTAGCTCACAGCACCTCAAACTCCTGTCAAGTGATCTTCTGCTCAGCCCTCGAGTACTAGGACTACAGGCATGCATCACCATGCCAACTAATTTTTTCTATATTTTTAGCTGCCAACTAATTTCTTTCTATTTTTAGTAGAGACGGGGTCTCGCTCCTGTTCAGGCTGGTTTTGAACTCCTGACCTTAAGCAATCCTCCCACCTTGGCCTCCCAGAGTGCTAGGATTACAGGTGTGAGCCACCGTGCCTGGCCAACTTTTTTTTTTTTTTTTTGAGACAGAGTCTCACTGTGTTGCCCTGAGTAGAGTGCCATGGCGTCAGCCTAGCTCACAGCAACCTCAAAGTCCTGGGCTCAAGTGATCCTCCTGCCTCAGCCTTCTGGGTAGCTGGGACTACAGGCACACACCACTGTGCCTCACTAATTTTTTCTATATTTAGTTGTCTGGCTAATTTCTTTCTATTTTTAGTAGAGACGGGGTCTTGCTCTTGCTCAGGCTGTTCTTGAACTCCTGAGCTCAAGCGATAGTCCTGCCTCAGCCTCTGAAAGTGCTAGGATTATAGGCATGAGCCAGGGGTGGTGATGTGGTGGTGTGATTTTTACTATGTTAATGAGGGTAGGTAACTTGAGGATACTGTCACCTTACTTGTACACATGCTACAAGACCCTCTTTTGTGGCCTTGTTCATATCTCCATCTGTTATCTTTCTATCTCTTTCTGATTGGTCAGTCCTTGGAGACTTCCTATTGTAGAACAAACATCTCTTCAGTCCTTGGAAGCCCCCTTGACATGTTATCTGTTCTTTCTTTCTTTCTTTTTTTTTTTTTTTTTTGAGACAGAGTCTCGCTTTGTTGCCCAGGCTAGAGTGAGTGCCGTGGCGTCAGCCTAGCTCACAGCAACCTCAAACTCCTGGGCTCGAGTGATCCTTCTGCCTCAGCCTCCCGAGTAGCTGGACTACAGGCATGCGCCACCATGCCCGGCTAATTTTTTATATATATATCAGTTGGCCAATTAATTTCTTTCTATTTTTATAGTAGAGACGGGGTCTCGCTCAGGCTGGTTTTGAACTCCTGACCTTGAGCAATCCGCCCGCCTCGGCCTCCCAAGAGCTAGGATTACAGGCGTGAGCCACAGCGCCCGGCCTATCTGTTCTTTCTTGGAAGTCCCACTTTGGGTCAGTTTGTTCCCTCTATTGTAGACCAAGCATCTCCTAGTGCCATCTATTTCTCAATGGAAACCTCCTAGACACAGTGTCTGTTTCCCTTCCTTCTTGTCCCAACCTAACAGGCTTAAGCAATCTTCCCACTTTAGCTTCCCAAGTAGTTGGGACTACAGGCATGGGCCACCCCTAGCTAATTTTTTTAAATCTTTTGGGATGATGAGGTCTTTCTATGCTGCCTAGGCTGGTCTTGAGCTCCTGGCTTCAAGTGATTCTCTTGCCTAGGCCTCCCAAAGTGCTGGGATTACAGGTGTGAGCTACAGCACCCAACCCAATTAAGTGCTTTTAACGTAGTACTTGGATTGACATTCTGACATTAGCATATACGCTCCCCTTTTTGACAATTTAAACAGTCTTTGTGTGGTTATTAACATATCATTGGTAAATCTTATAGCATCTTCTGGGCACTTAAACACTTGTAATACTAAACATGCATGCCCTAATTAAGGCTACATTAGAAATTTTTGATAAAATATAGCACCTGTTGATTGTCATCAGACAGGTGAGCTATAAATCATTGAAAATGTTACAAATAACACTATTTAATGGTACAATAATATATTTTGTTGCAACATTACATCACTGAAAAAGGACCTTAGAAAAAAATGCTGCTCTGTATGTATCAAATCTAAGGTAGGGACTCCACCTTGACGGTAGGGCTTTATTGACCATGCTGGTGAAAGTACGGTGGATCCTTATTATTCATTGATTCTGTATTTGCAATTCACCTATGTGCAACAATTTTTGTAACCCCAAAATCAATACTCCTGCACTTACATAGCCATTGTCAGACCTGCAGAGTGGTGAAAAATTTTAGTTGCCTAACACTCCAACAAGGCAACGCTCTGCCTTCTTGGTTCAACTCTTACATTGTAAACAAGTATCCTTTTCATAGTCTATTTAATGCCATGTTTTTTGAAGTTTTATCCTTTTTGGTGATTTTATTGTTTAAAATGGCCCCCAAGCAAAGTGCTGAAGTGCTGTCCAGAGTTCCTAAGTGCAAGAAGGCTGTGATGTGACTTATGGAGGGGTTATATGTGTCAGATACTTTGTTCAGGCATGAGTTAAGTAGTGCTGTTGGCCAAGAGTTCAATGTTAATGAATCAACAATATATATTAAATAAGGTGTCTTTAAACAGAAATATATAAAGCAGGTCTATGTATTGAATGGTTGCTGACAATGTTGTGCCCAGAGGCTTACAGGAATTTCACCCTGTGTTTCTCTTCAGAGCAATGGTTCAGAATTTATGAATTCAGTGTTTCTGGCGACTTTATAAACCTTAACTTTTGCAAATAATAAGAATAAACTAGTTAGATTCGTGACAAAATGTCTCTGAAATAATCAGGAAGACCATTCAAACGTATTTATTTAGAAATTCGATTTTCTTTAGGGGCTGGGGTGGGGTGCCCTACAGCTTAAAGCTATTTTATGTTTTTAATAAATGCCTCTCCTGGAATTTTATTTAAGGTATTAAAATATATCTTGTATATCTTTGTTCATCATCCCTTCCAAATTTTACTGCTTCTTTAGACCTATACTGCAAGTTACTGTATAATTGTAGAAAAATGAATATTTAAGTCAGTTACACAGTCAGGCCTTTAAAAAGAGATTAAGTATATTTCAGTATATTTGGGCACCCTGTGGCTCAGTCAAGTTGACTGACCGGTTCTGTCTAAGTCAGTAGAATTAACCATTACAAGTCCATTCTTGCTAACCTATACACATGTTCTTAAACTATATTTAATTTCCAAATAAAGATAATAAGGTAATAGTTTAATCTAACACAATGCAGCTCATATGGTGCAACTCTCTTGTGTACAACCAGAAATGCACTAGTCCTTTCCTCCAGAATTCAGCTTTCAGGAGGATTTCGGCATTCTGGGTGTATATTGGTGTCAAGTAGACAAGGGACAGACTCATGGACTTAATTATACCTTGACTGGATTTTAGCTTGACTGGATTGAGGAATACCTGGAAACCTACTACCGCATTAATCTCAGTGTGTCTGTGAGAGTATTTCCAGAGGAGATTAGCCTGCGAGTCTGAATGGACGAGGCGGGGCAAATCTGCCCTGCGTGATGGTGGTTACTATCCCATCGGCTGGGGACCCAGAGAGGACAAATACAGAAGGCAAATTGGTCTCTCTTTGAGAACTGGGACAGATAGACTTTTCTTCTGCTGCATTGGACGTCAGGACTTCAGTCTTGCTGGCCTTTGGACTCCAGGACTTATACCTGCAGTGTCCCAGGTCTGA